TTAGTTGAAATAAGGCATATTTTTTTATATCTCGTAAATACCTCATTCTCGTTAGTTGAAATAAGGTTAATTTTTTTATACCTCATAAATACCTCTTTTGATACAAGTGTAGGAAAAGCAACCTCGTATACCTTAAAAATCACCTCATCAGTCTGGTTGATTTGAAAGTGATTTAAAACAACCTCAAAATAAGCTTAGGTGCAAAAAAAATGACTCCATATACCTCAATAAATACCCCACTTTCTTTAGTTGAAACAAGGTAAAAATTTGTATACCTCAAAAATACCTCTGTTGTTACAAGTGTAAGAAAATCAACTTGGTATAGCTCAAAAATCGCCTTATCTGTCTGGTTGATTTGAAGTGAATTTTAAACAACCTCAAAACAAGCTGAAGTGTATATAAAACAACCTCGTACACCCAGTGCCGTTCCTGGCGGGTATGCAGCGAATGCCCCGCACGCAGGCGCCCAATTTAAGGGGCGCCAAATTCAACTATTCGAAAAAAATCAAATTATAGCGAATTATTAAAAATAAATTTTTTGTCATATTTTGTCGTTGTTTTATTTTATTACGCCCATTTTCATAGTCAAACACTTACACTAAAGTGACTTTAGTCTATAAGGAAACTATTCAGTTTAAATCTCAAACTAAAAATGATTATGAAAATTGGCCTTATCATCAAAATTTAAGCATAGTATATAGGGGCGCACAAAATTATTCTTGCACGCAGGCGTTCGCCACCCCAGGAACGGCACTGCGTACATCTTAATTACAACTTTTACGAGGTGTAATTTTTATTGCTGTTTTCTGTGCATCCTTAAATATACCTCAAATCAACCTTAATACCTCAAAAATACCTCAAATCAACCTGAAATATACCTTAAATTTTCGTAAGGGTGAGCTGGATGCAAGTGGTCGCTTCCACCTTCACCCCCCACTGTGTTTATACTGTTTTATCCTTCCCACGCCTACGGGTTTAGAGATGCTATGTTTTATTATTGTGAAAAATTTTAATTTGCTAATTCAATAAAGAGAAATAATATTTTAATGGGGATTACAAATTAAATAAATTATACTAGTAGCAATAATTTATTGAGAGTGAGAAACTGCCATTTGTTTTGAACCACTTAATCTTGTTTTAAGCATATAAATAAAAATATAGTAATAAATGATGAATAAAAGAAAAAGCTTTTCTGTCGGGAAAGGAATGAAAATCTAAAGACCCTTTTACAAAAAAAAAAGAAGAAAAAAAATTGGAAGAAATTGAATTTATAACGAAATTTTTAGAAGAAAAATATTTAATAGGCTTGCAAGACTTATGGAGAATGTAATGAAAAATTATTTTGCTTAAAAATAGTTGTATATTTTGTGTTAAATGTAATAGATAGATTAAAATTTTATATGCATGTTTTTTATATTGCAGTTCAAAAATATTTCCAAGTTAAAATTGCGTTTAATTAAATGATTATGTACAATGGTATATTTTTATTTTTAACACTTTCATCGCGGCAATGACGCGCCTTTGTCTTATCCTCTGCACTTAGAGTTTCCCCGCAGCACTAAAACTGAAAACAACAAAGCAAATTCCTTTAAAACTCACTTATTTAACCTTAATAAATAACAATCAATTGTTATAAAAAAACTAACCAAATTCACTAATATAACTATAGATCACAGTGAGTATTCCTGGACTGGAAGACTAGTTATCACGTCCATTGCGATGAAACAGTTAAGTTTGTAAGCCTAGCATTTTATAGATGCAAAGTAGGAGGAGAAAAAATTACAAACAAAACAGATAATTTTTTACAAATATCAGACTCATCGTTTTGATATTGTTACTAAATAACTAATATATGGATGGTGCTTTCAATAGAAATGTAAACAATAACAATCTCGAGCGCGGCACCTACTCTAGTTCTGGTGAAAAAGTTTGCAGCTGCTTACTACATGTTATTTTGATAGGCGATGCTTTCAAACGGATAATTTTGTTTTCAATAAAAGAAATAAATTTGATAATTTCTGAGCTCAAATCTGCCACATTTCATAAGATATTAATGTTAATATGTAATTCTGGTGAGTTCGAAGTAAAAATTTGTTTTAGTTTTTTAGAGATATATTGTTAAAAAAGGTGACATGGTTGCCAGATTTTGATTAACTCGCTTTTTTGGCAGTCTTAATATGGCCTCTTTCCATAAGTTTATTACTGTTTGTTCTTTTTGCAAGCTGTGCACCATCTTACGCTAGTGTTAACACTTTTAGCATTGCAAACACAAGTGATAAGTAATCAAATACATTGTTTGCTAGAATCTCAAAACACAATGATGCCAAATGGCTTAAAAATACAACTGAAACAGTAACCCGGAAATTTAGGCGGTACCGAGCTTGCAGCGTTCCCTAGTGTAGAAAACACCATCCATAAAGGAGCACGTTAAAACAACTTTTGTTTGTAAATAAATTTTTTAAGCATTAAGTAGTTTTTATTAAAGAAAAAATTATTTATTTTTTTCAAAAAAAATTCTATTTTTACTTAAATCAACAAAAAGCTCATGGGACAGAAGTCTTAAAAAATTTTACGATGACTTAAACTCTAAGAAGCTGTGGCGTAAATAATAATCGGAAATAGTAACCCAGAAGTATCTGAAATTACAACCCTTAAGTTACCGCTTTACTGATATTTGTTAATTTGATTCGAATCGCTCGGCTACCCTGGCTCATGTGTACTGCTGAGACACGTGTGGAAATTTTTTTTTATTATATTGGCAACTCTTTCCGTCATGGATTTACAGTCTGCCATATCAAAGTAAGCTGTTTCAAAATTAGAAATTATTAACTTATTTTCATACTGGTCTGCTATTCCTAGTACTTGTTAAAATATTCATACTTATAGCATCCGATTAATATTATTATTTGACATCATTAAAGTGTTTAAAAATAATTTCGGCATATTTCATTTCAGTACCCTTCATCATAACTTTTTTTTTTCAATTTATTTTTAAAATAACCTGTTTCGAATTCTTTCAAAATTATATTAAGGATTGACTAAGTTTCCTAAAGGAATTCATATTCTCTCCTTTCATTAATTTAATTTCAATTAAGTATGAAACGGTATAGATTATTTTTCTATGTTCACATATAAACATCCTAGTCGAACCTCTTCAAAACAATGTCAACTTCTGTGATCATTTGTGGTACAAAAGTTAGGATTTTTAAAAAGAACTATTAAATTTTTAGAGAAAGCCTTATTTTTCTGTTCAGATCTTTAATTTGGGCGTTAAAACTTTTGATTTAGTTTCAAAATCTTGTTTAATTTTATTCAGCTATCTTAAACGAATATGTATTAAGGAGGGTTTGCTCATTAAAAATTAATTGCACACTAATAAAAAGTATATAGTTGAGCACGTGGTGATATTTCATTTAATTTTGAGCTTTAATAAAAGTTCTGATAACAATGAAGCAGTTCACAAGTGTTTTATCATAATAATTTTGGTACCAGTTTTGGAAATTGTGCTTTCAATTCATTAATAATTTAAGTGGAGTGGAGGCATCTGTGTATCAAATTTATAGTTCAGGAATAATCTATTTTGCAACAATATGTTTTACATAGGTATTGCATTTGTGTTATCTATTAATCTCTAAACACTGTTCATGAATAATATTGATATATCATTATAACAAATAAATTACTAATCTTCACCAAATGTTTAATTTAGCTCAAATTTACTCTTAAACGAAATATGATTATTCTTTCTTGAGGATAGGCTTTAAATTAAAATTTGTTGTGTTGATAAATAATTTTAATTTATGTTTCAGACATCTCAGCACAAAGTATGAAATATGATAGTTACAATTAAATAAGCTATTTTGGATGTATCTATTACAATCTCTAGGTTTATCTATTAAATGAATTTAATAGAGGTTCATCAAAAAACTTCTATAGAATACATTATGTGCTTAATTATTATTATTATTATTTTTTTGTGAATTAAAAATTTCCTGAGATGTGATAAATATCATGCTATTTTACAGAAATGTATGGCTGATCTATTAATGAACCATAAAGCTTCATTTGTTACCGAAATAGTGGTTTAATAAGCCTATATATATCCTGGTGATTTACAATGGTTAGACATTTATATCTGGCACACTGTTTTGTGTGACTAGATCTAGATTAGATATTCATTACTCAAAGTTATACTATTATGAGCTGCAGTGCTTTAGTGTTAATGATATTGCATTGTCATTGTGAAGAACTAGTATGTAGTTGTGAGAACCTACTTGAAATTGATGGATATCAACTTGTCTGGGAAGTTAAGACAGTTTGTGCAGTATGTTTGCCGTAATGGAACTGTTGGTCACAAAATTGTGGAGTCTTAACCTTTATGACCTCCTTGGCCCAGATTGGACTGTTACAGAATGCTTAACTTTTTGTGACACATTTATGATATTTGTTCTTAAGAAATAATTTAGTTTCAAATTGAATCTTTAAATGGAATAAATCTTTTAACTCCATACATATGTATGGAGTATGGTAAATAGTCTTGCCTACTGAATATTGGGAATCAAGTTAAATATATCATAAGTTATTTTTTAGCTTTAATGTGAACACCATCTTTGCTCCAATATGCATTAATTTATTTTTTAAAGGAAAATACTTTGCGCTTTAAAAGCAATAGACAGATTTTACATCTGTGCTATTTGTATAAGAGTACAAGGTAATATGTAAAAACTAATCTTAGTATATATTTTAGTAATCTCAGTAAAAAAAAAAGTAGAAGAATATGCATATTAAAAATCATAAATTAATGTGTTAGCTTAAAACAAAATCCTGATTAAACATTATGTAACGGGGCAGGATTAAGAAATTTCAAAGCCAGTTTGGTTGTTCAGGAGGAAACTTCAAGTGGTAAAATGTGATTATTTAAGACACATTTTATTTTATTGTTGTAAACAAACTTGTTTGTTTGGTTTTAGCTCCATATTGCTTGATAATAGATTTTGTTAACATTTTGAATTTTCTCGCTTAAATATACGTTTCTTGTACTCTGAATAATTTTGTGATTTAAATTTTGATAAAGGTTTTAAATTTATGTTTAGCAAGCAATGATAGAGATGTGAACTTGAATGTTTTGAATGAATGAACGTTGAATGAAATGAATATGTTTGGTTGACGGCAGCTTATCAGAAAAACAAGGATTCTTTCAGACGGACGACAAAAGAAAACATTTGCCCTTTCCATGCCCCCTCTCCACCTAAAGATCTTCAAGGTCACAGAAGAAATATTGAAGTTTTCTCTGGACAAAGTGGGAGAATAATGCCCTCCCCCTACATTTTCAGCTTCTCAACTTCAAGGATGTGTCAAATTGGCGGGAATATCGAGCAAAATTTCCCCCGGTTTTCTGGATACCAGATAAATCATTCTGTACTGTATAATATGAAGATTAAGTATTTGTCGTTGGGACTCGGGACTTCTTACATTTCTGGGTGTTTTTTTTTTTTTTACTTAAAGCAAATCTCTAGTTAAGCTAATATATCTAAGGCGTGCACATTGTCTTTATACTCTTTAGAAATGCCTTGGAAATAAATAAGTCTCTAATGAGAACTTGGAACAACTTAGATTTACAAATTATCTCTTAGAAACTAAGTAGATTATTACGATACTAAGTTTTTTGTAACTAATTGAGGGTGGTCGTATTCTGGGTGTTCCTTAGAATTCTTTTGTTTTCGTATCATCCAACCAGGTCTAAAAATTCAGTGCAGAGCATCAGCTTTTTTTAGGAATATCGCAGAATTCCATGTTTCTCAAAAAATTGGTTCTCGGGCTTTTGCTAATCAAAAATTTATAATTTGATGAAATTTTCATGCAATTCCATATTCTAAAATTTAAATTTTGAAACTTTTGCTTTATCCTTTTAACAAGACATTTACTTACACGTGATTTTAGCGAATTTTCCCCATTTTAGAATTTTTTTTTAACTGTGCTGAAATCTGCTAGTGTCATTATTCTTGTTCACTAGATTTTAATATCTGTTACCTTAAATACCTAATTAGGGAGTTAGTTAAAGTTGCGATTCGTATTCACATAATTTAAAAATCCTGTATCGGGATTTGTATTTACGTGTTTTTAAAATCAATTTAGTGTTTTGTATTCATGCGTTTTTAAAATCCAAATTTGCAATTTATATTTACACGTTTTTAATGTCAAACATCAATTTTGGTATTTATGCGAGATTTAAAAGCTATGTATTTTGCGATTCGTTTTCAAGCAATCTAAAGATCATGTTCCGTATTCACACATTTTTAAAATAAGAGATAAATTGACCAATACCACGATTCACATTCATTATATTGTTTTGATTTTAAAATCAACTATCATGATTTATATCAACAGGATTTTTAAATCCAATATTACGATTCATATTCACGCGATATTAAAATCCAATATCACAATTCTTGTAAGAACTGAAAATCTTCTTAAATTAGTTACTATTAAGGTGGGATATTCTTTGTTGGTAGGTAATTTAATTATGAATCTTATTTAAAAAAATTATGTTAAATACAAAACATGTATGGTACATAAAAAATTGATATCTTGATATTGATATTTTGCACACAAAATTTTCAGGGTTTTCACAACCACCCCTGACTAATACAAGGATGAAAATCCTTTCTTTTTTATGTTTTCGAGCAGACATCCTATTTTTCAAAAATTATTTTTATACATTTATTACTGTTATAAGAATAAAAAATTAGGATATCAAAAATTTTTGAAAATTAAGGTTTACGACTATGGCTTTTCAACTCAGTAGTCTTGTAATTTTGAACCAAATCGGGAAGACGAGAACTTCTGGATCAATAATTGGGAGAAATTTTGCCTTTGTGGAGGAGTTTTGATGGAACTAACCATAACCACCTAGAGTAGAAGGCCTAGGAGCTTGTTTGTGACATCACGATCAGAAGGTAGAAAAGAGCGTAGATAATTTCTACCTTCAGAGTGATCAGAGGAGGTTGTGAAGATATGAAGATAGTCGATTCCTTATTAGTTTTATTGTTTTTTCTTTCATTTTTAATAGCTCAAAATAAGAATCCAAATTTTTTTATGATCTGAATAATTGTGTATATATAATCTTTGCCTTAAAAAAATAAATTTAAAATGAATCAAGAGAAAAAAAAATCATGATAAAAAATTAGTAAATTAACGCAGTAAGAAATTTTAGATTAGTTTTTAAAGATTTTTTTTGGTTATTTTCAAAAGATTTATCCAAACCCTTTTTTTTAAGGATAAATTTCAATTTTAAACTATTTTAAGAGTAATCAATATTATTAAATAAATATCAATTGATTAAAAATAAAAATATATACCTAAGAATTAAAAATTACTACTTAACATTACATTCATGGAAACAAAATGTTATTAGAAAGAACACTTAATGTAAAATTCTATAAAAAAAAGCATAAAAATGTTTATCCTTTATAAGCCTTTGAAATATTTATAACAAATGTATATAATTATTCTGAAATTTTTTTATTTACTGCAGTAAACTAACAAATTAACATCTGTCCCTCTAATTTCTTTCTATATTCTTTTGTTTTGCATACATGTGATAAAAATGATTTAATATGACTTACATAGACATGATTTAATGAATGATTTAATATGACTTACATGATTTAATATGACTATAATAAAAATGATTTAATATACTTTAATATGACTAAGCTGAATCATTACTTTGATGATATAGACTTTATGAATGAGGTATTTAAGTATATGAAGATTAATTTTATCATAAAAAGAACAAA